ATCCTACGCTTTAAACACTTTATGGAGTTGCACGTAGACGTACCAGAACCCCATGGCTAAAGCAACATTTAGGGAAACACTCTGGAGGAGCTGCATAAATCCAGCTCCCCACACGATGCCCCACACGATAACAATAACTAACTTTCCATTATTTCTCTCTGCCAGGTATGAGTCAGAAATGTGTTTCCTGAAAAGAAGGCCAATAGTTTAAACCACAAACATGCCAGCTTTTATGGGCTAATATGGAGTTAATGTTATGACTTTCTGCAAAAACACCAATGCTTTGACATGCTTATTTACCGTAAAGCCTGAGATCACCTGAAATGTGACCTTCACTAAAAATGATTCACAAGAAAAGTCAGCGAAAAGTTTATGAGATGAGTCAATGACTAATTAGAGAGACTGCACTTTTATAACAGAGGACGTCCAAACAAAAGCTTGTGCTTTCATGAAGTGACAGAGGAGTTTTAGAAATGGAGGGTGTATAATTAGTAACACAAAAAACTAAAAGAGAGAGAAAACGGCACCATTTAACGGTCTGTATGTAGTAAACTTCAGTGCAAAAGAGTCATGGCTATGGAATTATTGACAACAAAACTATATGAGAGAAAGACCCCTTGCCAGGAAGTTTAACTTCCTTGCCAGGATGTTGGCTAACTTCTTTGCTAAGATGTTCGTGAACTTCCTAGCAAACTCCTTAACCTGTCTCAGTTTTAAAGAATCTAAACACTGAAGTTGAGTATCTACTATGCAACCCCAGAACCAAACATGGAGAAGCAGCATTCAGCTTCTAGGCTCCTCTAATGTGGAACAAACTTCTGGACAACTGGAAATCAGCCGAAACACATTAAGAAATTAAGGCAAACCAGCGTTGATGTTTTTTAGCCTCAAATCAAGGCTAAAAACTCACTTGTTTAGAGCTGCCTTTGATTTGCAGTAAGTGAAACATTGATCAACATATTTGATGTGTATTTAGCTTGATGATGTCATTTGACATTAAGTGTGCAATGCAAATAAACTCGACAGAATCCAAAATCTAAACCCCATTAAACAACACTGGGACGCAGGTGGGGATAGAAAGCTGCTGGATGTTTGGCCGTTCCTCGTTTTCAGAACCGAACCATAAGCAGTCTGAGAAATTGCCTAGCTGAAGGCTTAATCAAGACTAAAACGAATAAAAACAATCCAGGACTGACCAATGTCCTGGTTTAGAAATTCCGTCTGGGGTCTTTTTTCATGGTTCTCTCCAGATACAGCGACTTCCTCCGACAGTCTAAAAACGTGACTATTAGGTTCACTGACCTCTAAGGGTTTAACGATACCTAAAACTCTTAAGACTAGACACGATACTGATTTTACGAGTACAAGACAGGGTGAGGTTTTAAGATTACCTCAGAAAAACATCAAAGATCAATTCTTTGCTTTGAAAAGGTCTTTATTCTGCATTTTCATAGACTTTAGATTTCCACAAACTCAACAAGATGATCTTTCGTTGTTTGATCTGTTTTCAGTTCAATTGCAGCTGATAGAAAGGGCTGTGATTGCTTTATAGCTTAACGTACCATTAGACATCCACACAGTGGCTGTTGTAGCTAAACAATTTGGAGTACTTTCACCTTTGCCGTTTCTTGTCTGTCACTCTGCTGCATTTGCGGTTCCAACTGGAAATCCCCAAATGCTGCCATAGTACTGGGCTTCTTGGCCCAGTGTGTTGACTGGTCAGTGACTCATTGTCCATCAGTCTTTCTTCATGTCATTTCTCTGTCTCTCGCCATTCTCTACTTCTTTGCTCCCTTACAACTGACTCAGCTCTCACCTGTAGTCATAGGTCAAGTGTTTCCTGGTACCTCTGCATGAATACAAGTCGTCATACCAAGGTCAGAGAGAGAGAGAATTGTTGCTCTTTCAAACCTGTTTGTTTACATTTTCCAGAGGGAGAGTTTTCCTATAACTTCCCCGTATAAGAATGTTCATCTGGAGCCAATGTTTAAGACACGGTATGAGACTTGCGTAGGACAAGTAGGAGGATTTTACAAGATTGTATTCTATTGACTCAGTTTTAACCTTGCCAAAAAGAAAAAAACCCAAAGACTTTAAAAATATAATTCTGATTATGTTCAGTTTCATGTCACGTTCAGGTGTCTCAGAGACCGTGGTGGAAAGTACAGGAAAGCACCTTTGGGGTTAGTTTTTCAGCTTTCTTTTAAGCTATGAATGACACATGTCAATGCAATGTTTATGATTTCAAAACTCTGCTAAGCAAAAGTAGGATGATGCAGCAAACCAGCATGAATTAAAAAAAACTATTCCAGTGTTAAAAAAAGGAACCAAAGCGTGAAGAGGAAGTATCTTTTTTCCCTCGTTTTTGAAGGGGGGAGCGGTTTGTTTGAATAGCCGTTGGTGGGTGATATGTTTCAGAAGTTCATCTCGTGTCGGTCGACGTTATGGGGCAGTCCACGTGAAAGTTCTCGGCTTGCTCAAAACCATAAAAGAAGCTATGAACAGGGAATGAAGAGGGATTAATAAAACCAAAGAGGCGGACAGACTGAACTAATATGTGAATTCAAAGGACGTTGGCTTAAGGAGCACAATGCTGACAGAAGGAGTTGTACAAGAGGCGCATCCAGTGTCACGACATGAAAGGAAACCACCGCGAGGCAGCCACAGCTTAACTCTGCCATCTGACAGCCCACAAAGCACTTTATTCTACAAAGCCAAATTATTTTTGATGGATTCTGGAAGAAAAGAGAAACCCAGCTCTCAAAGGTTTCAGCAGAAGAATGCCACATTGAATGAATCGAATCGTTTTGGCACTCAGTTTTATTGCCAGATCTTGTGAGTGAAAGACAGAAGTCCTTTTGCAAAATTTATAACACCATTTTCTGTTGACCTACTTCAGACTGTGCTGCACAACATCCTGCAAACAGTATAAGACCACTGCACTTTGTACATTACTACGAAAAAGGCTGGGGGCTAAATGATAATACAGACGTACTTTTACACCCTGTCGACCAGCAAAGAGATTTTAAATTCTATCATTTTATAAACAGAGAGCCACTGCATTGATTGGAGGACTAGTGTGAGATGGCCCTGATGTTTTTCAGGACTCCGTCAGCAGCATTCTGAATGAGTAACAATTGCTTGACGGATTTTCTATTTTTTATTTGAAGAGACGGGTAAAGACCCCATCGCAGCAATCTGTTGTTGTGGGAAAACTTTGCAGCATTAAGTTGAAAGAAACTAAATGAATTGACTGTCAAGGTCTGTTGTCATGTGATAACAAACAGTATAAAATTCTGCATTATCAATATACTTATGGTAAGAGATGCAATAGTTCCCCATATTCTGAGCTAGAGAGATCATCAAGATGTCAAATGAAAGCGCCCCTAGAACGGAGCCTTGAGAAATTCCACGTGTGATCTTTGCTTGGATTTCCGATTGCCAAATAACACAGTGACCTCAGTTGCCATGTGAGATTCCTTGATATTTTGATTTTAGTCATTTTAAATTCCAAAATGACTGCTGTGTGGTTTCTCATATTTAGTAATAGTGGGTACTGAGTTTATGAAACACTTATCCATAATTCTGTATTGTATTGCAGACAATATAAAAAAAAGGGCAAATCCAACAAATGTTTTGTCTGGGAACAGAGATCACAGTTGCATTTTGTGTATCCACAGAGCAGCAGATGGGTCATCCGAGCATGATTATTTTAGGTGGGGTGGGGGTAAACTCTCGCTGGCGGAGGTGGAGATTATACTGTGTGGTCTGGAGGCCAAAATAATCACTCCATCATCTGTAGCTCAGTTTATTATTCTAGAGATATCTGCCCAAACCCTTTTTTTCCTGGCTATTTGAAAACCCAACTTGTAGAACGGAGCTCGCCTTTAAGAAAAAGCAAGTTTTCTGCATTTCGAGTGGCTCAGAGAGGACATCAGAAGTGTAATTTGGGTTTCCAAAGGCACCACAGCAGCAGTTTGAAGTTCCTACTTTGCTGATTGTTTCAACACCATCAATACTGCTGTGTGCCATTCTTGTTCCTCTTTTGACTGCCTGGTGAACACTTAAAGGGGCCTACTCTTGTACAAAGCTGCTTACAGTTCAGTCAGGATAGTATGGGAGTATTTCTGCAAGCAATCTCTCTCTCTCTCTCTCTGCCTTAATTAGGCCACCCACATTCACGGTCATGAGCCTCACATGGTTTCAGACTGTGTTCACTAAAAACATGTATTGATTGGCAGAAAAAAGTGAAAACAATAAACTTGCAGTGCTTGGCTCTTTGCTTGTGGATTGTCTTTATCAATCATAAATGCAATGAAATGAAAACAAAATCATCTAGATTTATAGAGATTTGGGGTGGGGAAAGCTGCGGTAAAATGGGAACATTTACAATGTGATTTACTGGTCTCCTCCCACTTCCACAATTGTTGCTGTATTTTATTGGATTTTCACATGATGGAGGTGTTAGGAGTATACACAGAGATACTCTGTGAAGACTTCAGAGGTTTGAGAATTGTCAAACTAGGTGCTTTGGTTGAATAAGCTCTAAATTAAACTTTTTGGCTAGACTTGCAAGCTTCAAGTTACCCTGAACCTTAAGCTTGTTTTAGATCTCTCTTTCTACCTACCTGTAGAAATATATATAACTCATTTTACTTGTAAAAATTCACATCTACTCCCTGCCACACAGAATCTGCAAACCCTCTCATAACTTCCGAAAGTAGCAATAATATTGCTTTGTGCGTCTTGCTTACAATGACAATGCCGCACAACTTTGGGGCTACGAGTTGTAGTTATGTAATTTCTATACGCTCCATGTTGCCTACGAGAGTAACATAGAAGGGGGAGTGTCGGCTCTCGCGGGAATCGGATTGGTCCAATTTCATGACACCATTGGTTGACAGCTGTTTCGACCAATCAGCGTCAACGTCTGGTCTCGCCCCCTCGTCGGGTCAAGATGGGAGGGGGGAGCTACGTTGAAGGGAACATTTGTTCGGGACGGGAGCTGCGCCGTTATGTCGCCTGGCTGCGTGTGTGTCGTAACACTTTGTTCTAGTCATTAAATCGGATTTAGACCGTCGCGGGGGACTCGTCGTTTTCAAGCAGGCAGGTAGAGGATGTGTTTGGGCTTCCGTTCGCTGGTAGTTTTTCGAAGTTAAAAGCCATTTTTCGCGAAGAGAGGAGGAGGACTCTCTGGAACCGCTTGCGGGAGCATAGCATACTCCCTCGGTAAGTGGCTGCTCTCCGAACTCCTTAACTTAACTAGCTAAAATGTTCAGTTCTTACGAGCAAAAGTCGACTATTTACGTTGTTAATGTTTCTTAAAAGGAGTTGCCTTGCGCTCTTGGTGTTTTGTGTAGTTGCTTAACTTTCATACGTAGCTTTTTCCTCTCTCTTTTTCTCTCTTTCTCTCCCTTCATTCTTTTTGCCCGTTTTAGCTAACGAACTACTCCGTTAACATTTTGTCTGCAGGTTCTCTGTCCAAAAGCGACTCGGGACTCTATCCATACGTTTCGCCAACTCTCCAGCCATGCCGCTTGTGGTTATTATCTATGTGTTTTCTAGATAATGAAGGCGATAAGGCACATGTGAGAGGAACCGTGTGTTATATATGTTAGCCGTGCAGCTCTGCATGCCACAGACGGTAAAGAGGAGCCATTAAAAACCGGTTCGTAGTAAGAACGCATTCTGGAGTGCAGTGAATCACTCACTTTTAAGACTCTTATCTTCTTGGCAGATGACCAGGTCTGACCTGGAGATATTTCTGTGGCACCAAAAAAAAAAATCCTTCATGGACATATGAAGGATTTTAAGCAACCCCAAAAACTTTTTTTTTCTAACTTAGTTTTTTCTTTAAAAAATAAAATAAAATGGCTTGTGTCCTTTTTACCATTTCGCAATCAGAACGAAAACTTCCTTACTCTACTTTCTGTGGGATGCTTATTCAAATCAGATGAAATCTTGATTTGCATAGAACATTTTGTACAACTTTTGAAGACATTATAGAACAGCACTTTATGTGCTTATTGTGTGAACCAGGGGTAGATACGTTTGGAAAAAATTTTTTTATCGCTTTCACAGAAAACTACACATCATCCGTATGTACAAAACAAAGACGGTAAAGAAACTAACTGAATACATTATCTGACATCTGAAAAGCAATAATTTATCTTAACCTCTGTGAAGCTAAAGTACATTCTACTTTATGTGCCCCTCATGTTTGCTCCAATAGCTCTTATTTTATCATCCCACACATATTTATCTGTGTCCAAATCTTGAAATTCTCCACATAATAATGTTAGAATGCCATAATTAAAATATGTCTATCCATACTCTAAAAAGCTGTAATTTTCTTTTGTGGCAATTGAAGTGTAAATGCCAGAGAAAGAGCTAGAGTCATCACCTTTTTTTTTTCTTTAAATCTGGCCAGAGGATGCATAGTGTAATGCAGCCTTCCCCCTCCCCCACTTGTTGCTGGCTGACGGTAGGCTCCTAGGCTTTTCATCAGTTGTTGACAAAAGCGTCAAATTTGGTGTCTTTTAGAAATGTTTCTGGCTGACGCTGGTTCATATACAATGTAGATGAGACATATTAGGACCCATGAGGATTTTGTTTTTTTACAATGTGATATTTAAGCTCAAATCAACTGAAAAAAAAAAATCATACATGAAATGTGGGAATTGGAAAGAGGTTAAGCCCATCAAGCTTGATATGTATGTTATAGATATGCTGAGCATGAAAGGATAAAAAAATGTAAATATACCATCCTACTCGAGTATTGTTTTTGTAATGGCTGCAGTTAGATTTCTTGTGCAGCTTTTATAAAACATAAACAATAAAACAAAAAGAGCTATGTGTCCAGTCTGTAGTACCGTCGCCGATCAATACAGTCATTTCAGCATTCACAATGTTTCAAAGTTTAACTCCATTTCCTTTACATCTCGACTGATTTAAACCAAGAGGCACAATCCGTTTATACTGTTCTTATTTGCCCCTAACTCAGTTCAAGCTCTTCTTGGCAAAGCTAATGAAAACTGTTTATGAGACCGAATACAGTAACTTCCTGTACTTTTGAGATTTTTTTGTTCTTTTAGTTTAAACACAAGCTTTTACATCCTGTAAACTTAAACCCCCCCCCGTTATGTAAAGCCGTGTCGCATTTATCAAACTGCGAAGAACCTCACGCTGCATCTGCCTCTCTAACCGCCACTTTTACGGCTTCTCAGACACTTGGCTAAAAAGGCTACGCCGCGCACGCGTGGCGTTGGCAGGAGCCGTCTGGTGAAACTGTGACCAACATGGCCTCTCCTCTCAGCTTTCAGGTCTGGGTAGGCACGCTCAACGTCACGACTGCGGGCCGTTCACTGATGGGTACGCGCCACGCGGCGACTCATGAGGAGCACAGCAGAGCGGCGACGTCAGACCGGATCTGTGAGAGAATGAAGACGAGCTAGACGACCCCCGTCTCCGTTCAGTCTTCGGTAGCCAAAAAGTCACAAAAAAACACAAAAAAACCCAACAATAAATCGACCCCCATTCAACATGAGCGTGGAAGGATACCAGTACAGAGCGCTGTACGAGTACAAGAAAGAGCGGGAGGAGGATATCGACCTGCATGTGGGGGACATCCTTCTTGTGAGCAAGGGCGCCCTGGTCGCCCTCGGTTACAGCGACGGCTTGGAGCAGCAGCCGCAGAAGATCGGCTGGCTGCCGGGCTTCAACGAAACCACGCAGGAGAAGGGCGACTTCCCCGGGACGTACGTGGAGTACGTGGGGAAGAAGTGGATCTCGCCACCGACGCCCAAGCCAAGGCCGCTGAGACCCTTACCTGTAGCTCCAGGTTCCTTCAAGGCAGAGGACTCCGACTCGGATCAAGGTGAGCTTCTGTTTTTTAACGTACAAGTGCGAACTTGAACTTAGCCCTGAATCAGAATCCAAAAGAGCGAAGCTCCAGTTGCCAGAGGGACGGTGGCTGTCATGTTTTTGTCAATCTCCATCGTGCGAGATTGGAATGTCCTTATCAGCGCTAAGAAAAATGATCTATGGGTCTGAGCATGTTCAGGCAAGCTGGTTTGTAAGTGGAAGCAAAAAGAGGGGAAAATACATTGTTTTGTTTTTTTTAGTCTTTTTGCTTAAACAGGTTGCCTTTTGTGTTTTTTTTTTTTTTTTGTTGCTGTATTTTGGAGAGGTATCAGGACATTCAACCAGTCATAGGCTCTTCTCAGGATTTATTTTGTTTTTACAAGACTCTGAAAAACAGTCTTGTAGACACTGGACTGATTTTAATGTAACTATAACCTCCTGATCTTTTATTTTTTATTACCAACGGTCAATAATTGGTATTTTTTTTGTCATAAACTTAAAGCAATAGTGTGAAATATGCAGATAGTTTTTTAAAGCACCTTTTGCTATTGCTGTTTTTTGTTTTTTATTTTATTTTAGGAAGTTACACAAAAGCAGAGACTGACAGTGTTGTTAAAAACAAACTCACTCAGATAATGTCTCAACACCAATTTTTTTCCAAACTTTGCCACAAATTCTGACTTGAATTTAGGTTTAGTAGCATGACGCTGCCACCAACGTGTTTCGTCTGCAGCCAAAAGTTCACTTAATTTATTTCTAACATCGTCACACGAGGGAAAAAATCCCACAAGAATTCAAATGCCAGAAGAATCCAATGAATGATCTCAGTATTTAGTCATTGTCTTTTCAGCCCTCTTAACTGTGTTTTAGTCATTTGGCGTGTTTGGTTTCGTCCTGCGATCCACAGAGTGCGAACGGCGAAGCAGCAAAACCACAAGTGTCGAATATGAAAAGCTTGGGACTTTTTTTTTTTCTTTTCGTAAGAAAAGAAAGCAAAATGCTGCACAGAGTGTTTGTTGTTGGACTGAATTTGTGGCTATCACAACAACACAATGTCACCGATTGAGCATGTGAGGAGAAAGCACCCAGTGTTCAGTCCAACCAAAACCAACACAAAAGGAACATTTTCCTCTATCATTCTCCCCCTGTTGCTCACTTTCTTACCTGGTTACTTTCAATTAATGGTTACTTCATAACTGAAACTTGTACAGTTTACTTGTTAACATTAGAAGTTTTGTAACGTGATGCAAAACTCAAAATCTTACCATCTTAACATGTCTAGTTTCTACTTTTAATATCTTGGTGTTTCAAATACTCCACAAATAACCTTTCAGCAGCTATTAAGGTCAATAATTCCTCAATATTGATGAAAATCACAAGGATTATTTCACTTACAGCAAGACATTTTCCCCATGAGTGTAATGCTATCAGCTTTTTCATCAATGTTAAGAGATGTTTGACTTTAAACAAACTGCTGTATCCTACTGAAACATTACTTTTCAGTTAGCTTTCTTATTTCAAGTGTGCCAAGATATTTGAAAAAGAAAAAAAACCTTGGTAAGATTTTATGTTTCGGCAGAGTGAGGGGAGGGCGGGGGGATGCGCCGGCCGCAACTATGAAGCGCAATTAAAACCGGTCTCTGCTTTTTTTTGCTTTTCGAAGGAGGCGGCAGCTCAAACTCCGCTGCGCACCTAAAGAGTAGCCGCGGTTGCCAGGTTTCCAGTTTCTGCTCTTTTTGTGGTGCGATTGTGAAATCCTTTGCCGGGGTGCGTCTTGTGGGGGGGGGGGTGCATCGCAGGGTTGAGCCTGGAGCGAGTGGAGAATTTTAGTGCAGGGAGGAGAAGAAGAAGAAGAAAAGTCTCTGTGTCCCGGGCGAGGAGAGGAACGGGGAGGGGAGGTAACGCCCTGAGGTTGGTGGGGAGGAGGAAGAGCGAGAGCGTTGTGCTAGGCGGAGGGGAGTAGGGTAGCCAGAGGGGGGCTATGGGAGGAACCATGCTCAAGGGCTCTTTGAAGAGGGTCCTGTTGCTCCCAGAGTGTTTGTGATTTATCGCCCACCACCGAGGGGATCCAACTCCTTTCCTCCTACACCAGTTTTTTATTCCCTTCTTCTTCTTCTCCTTCCTTCTACTCCCTTTTTTAAAATGTTTTCATAGCGCCTACAGTCAGCTCTGCGAGGGCAAAGGAGGTGGAGAGTTGAGGCTTAGAAAGGGGGCCTCTCTTCTCTGAGCCACGGGGGGAGGAGGGAGTTTACATGAGTGCAGCAGATGTGGAGAGAAGAGAGGAGAGGAGAGGAGAGGAGGGCAGGGCTGGGAAACTATTCCGGCTCATTCCAGCTCACTACCTCTTTTTTTTTTTCTTCTTCTTCTTCTTCTTCTCTCTGTTTTTTTACAAACATTAAAGTGTTGCTCCTTCGCCGGGGCCTCTGAGTTAAGACACCATGCATACGTTTGGGCCTGCCGAGTGGAAGGAACACGGAGTGGCCTCACGTGGAACCTTTTTTTTAAATTATTATTATTTTTATTTTTTCATAGGTCACCACCAAAGTTGCATATAAATTCTTTAGGCGACACCCATATTTTTCTTCTTTTTTTTTTACTTTCTAGTTCTCAGTTTTGGTGTTCATGCTGGAGGAGGACAGTGATTGCTTGCTGTTCTGCATGCTGTCACAAGATTCGGCGGGCATGCTCGAGCTTGTTTGAGGAAATATTCAACGCCGTCTGTCGCATTGGCACATTACCAAAACTATCTAAAAAAAAAAGCCCACAAGTTTCATTTGTGTTTATTGAAAAAGTTGCTAAAAAGTGCAACTGAAAGAAGCTAGTGGGTGTTTGGATGGGTCGGTCCTCCACATAGCAGCAGATTGAGCTAATGCAGCTCTCCTTCTCTGGGCCTCTTTAGCATTCAGCCTGACAGCTGCTCCATTCAACACAGTCACTTTATGTTTTTTTTAATCAATTCTTATAAATTATGGTGCTTAGTGACTTTGGCAGTGGCTATATTTTTTTTAAATTCCTCCGCCCCCCGAAGGAAAAGTCACACATTGTTACCATCATCCAAGTCAGTAGCAGATGGAGAACAGCACACAGGCATGGTGTGATCTTTGTTGTTGTTGCAGTAATGCAAGCAGTGTATTGATGCTTTAGATTGCACGGAAGACTGATTAATAGCTCTGTGATGAATCCATATTGTGTTAAGTGCCGATTACAGTAGCAGTAGAGAATGCGACCAGAAAATAAAACGATAATTCTCGGCAGCTCTACACTGGCGGATATCAGTTTCACTGATTTATTCTTTGCTATTTGTAAGAAATAGTTGATTTTCCTTGGGCTGATGGGGAGTATTATGTAAATTTGACTTTTTTGAGCTTTATATGACATTATATCAACCTAAAAAAAAAGGAAAAACTTATTGAGAGGTTGGCGATGAGTCTTTCTTGGATGTTTGAACAGTCCTTGAATCTCCCGTGGCAACCATTCAGGCTTGGTCCTCTAGCTCCGAAGCTTGAGGACCACCCCCTATTCAGCTCCTTCAGACTAGCCAGCAGGAATTAGCAAACACCTGGTGGAACTGTTCATCTGCTGAGTTCATTATAGGAGCTACATTTCAGTGAAGCACTGGTAAAATGTTGTTAAATACTTAATGGAGTAATGTCGGAATGACTTCCTGAAGGTGGTGTGTCAGAAAAAGCAGGAGCTTCTTAAAGAGACAGGAGCCCAATTTCAAGGTGTTTTAAGTCTAATTTGACATATACATTATTTTAATGAGAACTGAAAGTAGCACTGGTCATTGTTTGTGCAATAAAATAACACTGTGTGCTTGAAAACGCATTACACCGGCCCTTTAAGTCTTTGAAATGTTGGTGAACGTTAGCTTGCGTCCTGAGAGCCTGACTGTGATAAATCTGTTGGCCTCCAGCTGGATTTAAATGTATTTTTGGCTCCTCGCTGTTTCCAAGATCTGATTAGAATAAAAACATGTTTAATAAACATTCATCTTATCCTTTCAATGTTTGCCGAACTGCAGTGAACTGTACTGACATGCTAACACAGTTACACCCCCCCAGCTTGTTTGTTACGTTCGCTTCCAGGAACACTTTCACATGAACCCATTGTGTGTTGAAACTGCTGTCCTGGGCTGTAATGTGATTCTGAAGCTCAATAAGATGACTGCTGTAAATTTAATATTTTCTCGCCACCCACACTCCCCACCAACTACACACACACACACACACACACACCAAATTGCATTAGAGGGTAAATCCACTCAAGACATAACATGGAATCGTGTGCATAGCCGTTTCATTACCTGATTGTGTGCAAGGACTGAAGTCTGAACTGGCAAATCTTCTTTACCGGAGTCAGTCAGTGTCTGTCAGGAGGATTAGGAGGGAGAGGAAATGAAGCCTGGGATGGTGTGTGTGTGTTTGTGTGTTTGGTGGACTTGGAAGGAGAGCAACAGGACAGAGGTGAGATTAGAGCAAGACAATATCTGGAAGATACAGAGAAGCTCCACCAAAACGGTTTATGCATAGCTCTAAAACGGACATGCGTTGCATCAATCCATTAAAAAAAAAAAAAAACCTCTGCTCCTTCTAAACACTTTTATTTTCAGCCCACATGTTTTCCTTCCTCCTGTTGGCTCACACAGCATTGCACACTTCTACTGAAAGCACAGGCTTGTAGCCATTAGCGCGCAGCAGCACGCCCCTTCAACACGACTCAGAGGCAGCATATCTTTTAAAAACCGTTGTGGTCAAACAAAACATCCGAGATTATAGCTCACTCTGTCGCTATAGAGCTGTAAAACCAAGCTGCTATCTGATCTGACGGTGTCTGGTATGACTGTCTGATGTGCATACCAGATGGGGTTCTAAACTTGTGCATTAATCTTGCAAAAACGTAATAAAATTTGTATCTTGACTCAAAAGCTGTTGGTATGAACAGGAAACATTGGTATCAATTTTTTATATCGTTCTTCTATTTTAAGTAAGACATTTTAATTTGGCTTCAGAAAAATAGTCTTTAGTGGTGAGTCTTCACACATGCACACAGAGGGTTAATTTTCACCCTCTAACAAGGATGATCTTATTGGTTCTTCCTTTTCTTCTGCATTGCATCTTCTCTCCACCAGGAGGAGACATTGTCTGCCTTTTATATCCTCTACTGTGCATCACAGTTGCATCATTTTTTTGTGTGGTTAAAACAGATTCTAAGCGGTATGTTCCATATAATATTAGTTTCCAGTGAAGTATTGAACATCTTTTTGAACATTTTTTTGCACAGCCGCTTGTTTCAGCTGTTGCACTGGTCTTCTTGAGTCGTAGCTCGACCTCTTCCAGACCAGGAGGAACCTGAAAATGGTAGTTACCAGAGCAGACTCTCTAAATTTATCCCAGCTATCTTTAGTGAGTTCACGGCTCCCTCTGCCCACAGTCTACATTTTGTTCATTGCAGACATACCACTTGAGCCGGTGAGATTGTGCCCCCCACCTAAACCCCCGTTGCAGCACACCGCAGCTCTACGAGTGGCAGCTGCAAAGACTTCCTCGGTCTGTCTTTCTGACTGACTGCTGATTGACTGAGGCCAAACATGCACACTTGTAGAGGCATGTTTAGGAGGCCACCGTCGCCTTGCTATTCTTTTCCAAGTTGCTGCAGAAACAGTCTCTCGTCAAAAAGCTAAATAAAGTTTCAGACCATGCTGTCATGCAACTATTCTGTCTGAATAAAGAAGAAAATGGTCTCTTCTAATTGAAATAACAAAACTTGATACATTTAGCAGTTAGAATGTATGCATGAAGTGAACTGAACTAACTTTCAGTTCAGTTTGGTTCAATTCTAAAGCGCCGACTTCACAAAAAACATGACACCTAACCACACTTTACAAGAAAAACAGGTTACACTAATCCAGTGGTTCTCAAAGTGTGGGGCACAGTGGCATTGCCGGGTCGGTGTGGGAAGCGGTAGGGACGAATGGGGGTGGGGGAGACAGTTACACAAAAGTGTTTCACTGTAAAGATAGTTAGTAGTTTGTTTTGTTGCAACCTGAAGTGTGAAATAAACTTCAGTGGAGTTTGAAAACAAAATGAGTGTATAGGTCTGTGTCTGGTTTAACGATGTGTGCCCAGTCGGGTTTTTTTTTTTTTTTTTTTTTTTTTTTTTGGGGGGGATTTTATTGTGATCCATAGGGGGGCTCAGAAGAAAATCTTTGGGAACCACTGCACTAATATCTATTACACTGAATGTGGGAATCCAATCCTATTTATTTCATTTATACAAGTGAAGTGAAATAATGTTATATAACATAATGCTTTATATATTATTCATAAAAAAATCTCTTGAGTCATTTACAAGAACAACCTGTTTCATACATCACAAGAAATACCTAAAAAATAATATGACCTACTTAACACTTCCAACAATCAACATTAACATCATAAATTATCCATCAACAGAAGGATTTTCACCACAGAAGGGTTTGATAATTCAGAAGGCCAGCTGATGGCACCGATCTGTCCTCCTGAGCAAAGACCTCGACACATCAAAGCAAACAGTTGTAAAAATAATTAAACCGGTTGTGTCTACCCTGGGAAAATGTATTTTGCTAGAGAAATTATCAAACTTTAAATAAACGAAGCATATTTTTTGGGTTTCCCTGGTTACAAGCCATGGCCAACACAGGCTTGTCTATCATCGGATCGTCTCAGGAATCGTCGGCGATTGCTCAGAGCATTTCTGCCATGTTTTGCCTCCCGGACACTCAATACGTTTCTACGGACGCCAAAACCGTCATGCCGTTGACAGTACTAAGAAGCAACTCAATCTCCAGTGTGCCGTGCCACTCATGACCTCCCCCTAATAAACATGGGACTCTGGATCATCTTGAAGAGCCGTCTCGTTGTAGCAGTTATCGCCCTACCTTGTCTGGAGCAGATCTGTGCGTGAAAATATGCAGGAAAAGCGCATCTGCAACTTTGTTTGGAAAGGTTTTGGATCCTGTTTAAGCTTTCAGCGACTCATTCTCCTCTTTTGATCTGTTATTTTTATGGGTTTGATCTGAGGGAAAGCAGCCGGGTTAGGGTTTCCTTTCCCGGAAAGACGAGGTTGGCCGCGGGAGGAGATCCGTGTTGGATGTCTTGTTGTTCGGGGGAAGTAAGGGGAAGAAGCTCACTCTTCCAAGGTGAGAGATGGCAGCACCTCATGTCTCCCATCTTTATTTAGGGAAACTTTGCTCCATCTAAAAGTTTGCTACTTCTCCGAAACCCCCCCCCTCTCCACCTCCCCCATCCCATTGGTTTTGCATTTCCAGTAATGTGTTCCAGATGACCACTTGTCCTCAACGAAGGTTTGTGTGTTATGTGGTCAGAGGGACTTGAGTAATCCAGTTTCTTCACACGCAACCCACCAGCCCCTCTGGTCTCAGGATGTGGATTCGGTCGAAGCCGTTCATTATTCGCCCGATTGAACCCCTCGGCCCCCCATCCTCCCCGACCCGCTCGCGTTCGTGGGATGTAAGCAAAGCCTCTCTAATAATTATCATGCATTACTGAGAGCTGCACTTGTTCATTTTCTTCTTTTAAAGGCAGATTTTTTATTTTATTTTTTTTTTTTATTCGCAATTTTTTTAAAGAGGAGCAGAAAGGAAAATACAGTTTGGAGAAAGGTTCCATTCACCGACCCAGAGTCTCGGTGTTAAAACAGTCGAGCCTTTCAGAAAATATCCCTTTTTACTTCTTTTTTTTTTCTTCAAAATACGCCTTTACAAAATCCAAATAAAACCCCGGCCAAATACTTCATCCTTTCATGTCCGCACCTGGCTGCAAAGTTCTAAAGGCAAAATAAGTAAAGAACTAAAATACCCAGAGACCTGGCTAACCTCATGTCACAGGATATTTGCTTAGTTCCTTAACCCACCAAACCCTGACTTGAGCGCTCGGCCCCTCCTGCTCTTGAATCAGACTGTTCTTTTCACCTTTTGAAAGGCGTTCTCCGACCATGTACCTGCCGCCTTTGAAGCCTCTGAGTGGTTTGTTGGTCAAACACCTGAGCCGGTTCAGAAGAATCACCGCCATCTGACTTATCTGTATTTTTATTGTTGTTGTTTAGAGTGTCAAACGTCATTTTTCTTGGGAGAAATTAAACTGTGGCGCCAGAATAAAGACTTCCTTGCATTTTTGTTAGCTTGACACAGAGTTGTGAGAAGCTTTTCTGAAAACGCAAGTGTGAAAACTGCAAGAATAACCCCAATCTCGCAAAACGGAGAAACAATCCATGAGTGTGCACCTTGAGAATTGCTACGCCGACTGAAATCCCCTGAGAGCTTTTGTGTTTTCAGTCAGAGAGAAACGGTCCCTTGTACTTCGATGTACTTTAGGGGATTTCACGCAAGAAAGGAGAGCATTATAGTGAGAAATTGCAATAAGTTTGGAGAAGCTGCAGAGAGCCACGAGTCTTGTGAAACTTCTTTATTGTTGAGAGTAAAGCTGTTGTTAAAACATCTGTATGCAGGTTGCCAAAATCCAAATTCAATTTTCTAGCTGATCACTGATCTTTAGGTTGTTGCCTCGTGTTATTTTAGTCACCCTAGACACCATACTGTCACGTCTGTTTGATATGAAACCACTGATTTTAATATTTCCCTCTGTTGACCTTTGTCTCCTCAGGAGTCTGTTTGGCCGACTTGACGGAGCAGTTTTTCCTCCCAGAGACCGCCCCGCCCTTGCTGACCAGACTCCTGGAAGCTATCGAGAGGAAAGGTGAGGCTGCCATGACAACCCGCCTTCCTCCTCACGACCCAGTTGACTCTGTCGATCGGTGACCAGTTCGGCAGAACCACACGGGGTGACGTCTGTGTTCTCCTTTTGACAGGTGTGGACAACCCAACTCTGTATCGAACGTTCACCGCTGGAGGTGGACTCGAAGTCAGGCAGTATTGTGATTGTGGTAAGAATGTTTTGTTTTTGGGTATTTTTTTCCACTCCCCATGTCCTAATCAGCTTGAGTGTGTGTGTGTGTGAACCTTGTAACTTTCCAGTCAGCAAAACGAGACCAGTACACACACAGAGGAAGTTTCAGAAAATAAAAGGGGTTTTGTGTTTGCACACGCATGACATTGGTGACTCAAAGAGCTTGCGGTTTTCTCACAAACCAAGCCGTTGCATTTCAGATCCTCCCACCGCCGAGCTGGACCAGCTGGAGCTGCCCGCCCTGTGCGACGGCCTGCGCAGATACCTGCAGGATCTGCCCCAGCCCATCGTCCCGGCCGCCCTCCACGCTCAGATGGTCCACGCCGTCAAAGGTGAGCGCCAGCTCAAATTTGCGTTTGTTCGCTTGCGTAGAAGGCCTCGAAAAGTGGCGCGTGAAATGCTGACGTGATGTCCCCAAACTGTACAGCACGTTCTGTGAGATGAAAAAAAAAAAAAAAAAAAACTCATCTACTCTCCACTTCTACTTTTGGGTGGTTTGGGTTCTTGACATCATCAATTGAAAACATGCAAAGTTCAAATCATGCATCCTTCTCCCCTGCTTTTTTTTCTCTAACTTTGCATCAACTTTTCTGCTGTTTTTTTTTTTTTTTGCAAAGCAAAGGGAAGAAGAAAAGTTGCACCTCACTGCGTTCTGTTGCATTGCATTCTCTTTCTGTCACATGGCCAGAAACAGGATATCTGTGGTTAATAGGAACTAAAACAAGCCTGAAAGTTTATCTCTGCCATCTCCAGGCAGCCAATCACCTGCTAGTGTACCTTACGCTCATTCTCAACCACACAATCTCTCAGCGGTTTCCAAGACAAACTGCATGACTGTTTTTTTTTCTCTTTTTTTTTTTTTTGTTCCATCTCTTCATTGTCTGAAGATCACACTTTCATTTCGTGTCGCTCTTCAGCCAAAGACGCTCGCAGTTGTTTCATCTCGTTTTCTTTTGACCAGAGCGTCTTTTATTTTTTTGTTTTCCTCCCACCAACAGAGGCAGCGAACCCCGAGGAATGCGCCCAGTTGCTGCGCCGCATAGCCAGCTCCCCGACCCTGCCGCCCCAGTACTGGCTCACCCTGCAGTGTCTGCTCAGGCACTTCTCTAGAGTCTGCCAGAACGCGCCCAAGAACCAGCTCAGCGCCAGATCGTTGGGCGAGATCTTCAGCCCCGTGTTTTTCAGACAGCAGCCCACCAGGTGAACACCACTCGTCAGAAAAAAGAAATTCAGATATATTGCATTTGAGACTTGACCTTTAACCCCCCACACTTGCCCTTTTCTCCCCTCCCACAGCTGCGAACCCAGTCTGGATGCTTTCATCAAGATCATTGAAGTGCTGGTGACAAGCGAGTGGAGCGAGAGCCAAGCAGCTCCAGGTAACAGCTTCGGTTATCCATCATTTACTACCTTTACATCGGACGCTCGCACTTTGCATCGCTTCTTTTAGAGATGGACGCATTATTTATTAGGCAGTGCAGAACATTAAGCTCCCCGTGGGCACTAAACTGCTGCACAACTCTTGACTGAGAGCTGAGCTATTAATAGCTCAGCTCAAAGCGTTGGGACCTGCAGCTGAAGCAGGCTGCAGCAGGCTGCAGATTGCAACATCTAGGTGCATTTGAATTGAAAGTGTCAAATTTTCTTGCAGGATTTCAATGCACTTTTGAAAAATCCTGCTGTTATTTTTGAGTTATTTGGGATTTTTTTATGAGTCTTGTTTAGATTCCAGTGCATTCAGATGTTTTTCCAGCAAAATGAGAAATATTTCTCACCTTAAATGCTGCTTTTCAAATCTGTAATGTAAAATGATCCAGGCAGAGCGTAAACGTTTAATAGTTTTCAGTTTGATCAGATGTGAGCTTCTTCTGATGCATAAAAACAGAAAACTCAAGTGAAACGACCCGATTGTCAGTGGTTCTTACATTTCCTGAATCTTATCAAACCTATTTGAGGAATAATTTAGCAATTGTACATTGAAGAAAGTAACTTCAGATGGGAAGTTTAGTGTTTATGGAGCCAAGGTGCTTCAAAGCATGCGTCATCACAAACTTGCTCTTTCTGGATGTTGGGGGTTTTTTTTTTAATCATTTTAACCGGATTGAACCAGATTCTGTGATTTTGCGGTTTGTCTTTCTGGGTCTATTTTCTCCCGGTCAGCCTGGAAACTGAAGTTAGTTTAAAAGTTTCGGCGGTGGTCTGCTTTGGGGGGCTGAAAGCAAGAGAGAGAGAAAAAAGAGCTGCTGTGGTAGGAGGCAGCAGTGTGTTGCGTGTGACACTTATGTTTTTACAGGGCTTGTTAAAAGCGCTGTTGTTGGCTCGCCCACGGACCATAGACCGACCATGGCTGTTTAAACATTTTTATTACCTGTTGGGGCTATTTATAACACGGCTGTGCTTAGACTGGTCTCTGCTGTCAGTAATTTACACCTGCAAGAGCATTTTGATGGACGGTTGGAAATGCTTTTTGTTCCCCAATTATAGATTTATATTTGGAAAGTCGTTGGGTTGAAATGATTAACCAGATTCATCGCGATGAATAGACGACTAGCTTAGTCACTGGTATGTACAGACTCAAAATGTCAACAAAGTAGTAATTAAGCCAAAAATGTAGATTAAAAACCTTTGTAAATATTTTAAACGCAATAGTTTTAGCTTCACATGGTTCAAATTCTCTAAGGGAATTTTGAATATTAGACAATAAAATGATTAATTATTTCTTTTTGCTTGCACCTTTAGGATATTCCTAATATTGTATAAAGAAACTGTTGATTTAAAAAAAAAATCCAACTAATCATTAAAATTATTGATAGAATAATAGATTGCTAAAAATAATTCTTCGCTGTTTCAATAGAAAAGGTTTCTATTGAAACCTTTTCTCATTTAAAACAAAATCTGATCAAAAGGAATGACATATGAAATCAAGAAATATAAGCAAAAATTAGTATCACCTGAAAATTACAATTATCTTATATAATATATATATATATAAAATTCTAGCAAAAAAAAAATAGCTATTTTTTTTTGCCATACATAGCAATCTGGTAGCTATTAGTTTAGTTGGGCTTCCTGCTCTGCTACTTGTAGCATGCTAGCTTTAGCTTTGAAATGGCACAGTTGCATTTTTTTTTGGACCAGAAATATTTTCAGGTGTCCGGTGTTCTGACTAGCGGTGCTACCTCATCAGATTTTGCTATCGTAGCACAAATAGATAGCTAAGTCTATCGGTCTGTGCTACCGTCACGTTTACAAACAGAAAACTATAGCAGGTTGTGTTGATGTTAAATCTATTGGATACCATTATTTGAGTGACAGGACTGAAGTGGAAGCTTTGGAGTTATAGTTAGCATTGGAACAATTCATATACACGACGAAACCACAAAAACATCACTTCCTTCATCTGAATGTCCTACCCATTTAAAATGAAAGCTATGGATGTTTGCACTAATCCTTTTACTAGAATATCCTGCCTGATAAATATTGTAAGTACAGAGGTGCTTGTAAGAATAGAACAGTATAAGATAGCAGAAACAGTTTTTTTGGGGAATTAAATTAAACGCAGACAAACACAGATCACCGCAACTATTTTTTGCGCATTAATACGTTGTACGACAGACTTTATCAGATGCAGCGCAGCCACAATGTGTCCACCGAACTGCGCAGGTCATTGTGTTTCTGAAATGATAGGATATGATTAATATACACTAATATTACACAGCTATTACAGCTTTGATCCCCCATAGTATCGCTAACATCTGTTCAGCAAAGTTTAATAATAAAAAAGAGTGTAATTAAACTAAAATATTTAAAAATAGCCCTGATTAACCGCCAATGACTAGTTTACAGTTGTAATGACTTTGCAGACGGCGAACTAAAGCTATTTATAAGCTGCCTGTCATGTAAAGTAAAAACATGAAGTAATGTAGCAGCTTCATGAAAACCAGGTATAAAATAAGACCTTACCGTAATCTTTGATGAAACAAAACTTCCCCAGGTAGGACGTATTTATAAAAAAATCTGCTGAGTAAGCAGTATGTGACGTAGCATCGATGTAGGACAGATTTACGGGTAGCACAGATAAACGAAACACCGTTTTTTTTTTTTCCTCGTTAGCAATAGCATCTTTCCCCCAAGCTGACTGTCGGTCTGTAGAAACATGCGGGGAAGGGCCCAGGACCAGAAAGAGTTTGAGCGGGTCAGCTCGACGCAGCCGGGCGTCGGCGGCCCGTCTGAAGAAGCACATGACCCGGTCAAACATAGGCGCTCAGGTGCGGCGGGTTTCAGTCATCTGGCTCCTGCAAACACCGAGACGAGGGGAGCCTACTTTGTAAACACACATGTTCGGATTGTGTGTGTTTTGTGAATGACCTGTGTCTGTGTGCGTGTGTTTAAGGGTGTCTGCATGCCTCCTCCCAGTTACTGCTGGCCTATTTTAAGTAAGCGTCAAAAGGCCCACTTAGATTTGGTTGGCTGGAAAGTCGGCCTGCGCCACAGAGCGCTTCTTGTTAACTGAAGACGGCCAACCCCACCTCGCCTCCCCACCGCCTGGACATCCACATGTCCTGCCTCCTCAAAGGGCTCAGTCAGCAAATATTTGAAACTTTTGCAAGTTAATCATAAGACCGAACGCCCACCCCATTCGTCCTTTACAAACATGTAGGGAAAAAAAAAGGAGGAAAAAAAAAAAAGAGGGAGTGACCACAGAAACCTGAGACTCTGGATTCAAGGCGACACCAGAGCAGCTACTGCTAATCATTAACCATCCGCCTCCACGTGAGCAGGCCTCAGGCTCGGCTCAGAAAAGGAAACGTCGTGGGGGAAGGGGGGAGGAGCTGCAGGAGGAGGAGGGAGGGGAGGGAGAGTCGGAGCAGAAGCTGAACGCTCTCAGTCAGACAGAGCGGGGCGAGCGAGTCAGTCACACACTCAGCCCGGTCGCACGCAGCACCTGCCCAGAGGATTACCTGGATTTCATTAAGAAGCGCGCAGAGCCGCAGCTTTTTCAAAGAATTAAAACGAGACGCATCTTCATACCGGAGGAGGAAGAAGAAGAGGAGGGTGGAGACGACCCAAACTATGAAACGGAGCTCTGTCGAATTGGATTTAATTCAACCTGTGGAACTGAAAGAACCGCTTCAGAAAGGACTTTTGATCCACTGAGACATGCACAACTTACAGCGTGAGTTTGACGCTCTTACTCTGAAACTCCAGGATGTGTCTCTAATTTTATTTTGCGAACTCTTAAAAAAAAAAAAAAAAAAAAAAAACACATACACCAAGATATTTTATTTTGTTTTATTGTTTTAAAAATTCTTCTCTCAGACCTGCTTCAGGCACACGGCTGGATAAGTAACTCTCCGATCCACACCGGCTCTAAAACCCTCGCATTATTTTTAGATGCGGCGTCTCGAGAGAGAGACTAAATAATTGAAAGCGTAAAAGGACTCTTTACCCGGCGTGAGATTCTCACAGGACAGGAACCTCGAGCGAGAACCGCGAGATGGAATTACTTTTATTTCAAACAGGAAAGCAAAAGTTGCTTTGTTTTTTTTTTCCACTTCCAATGCTGCCATCTCTGAGGCATGAATTCAGAAAAGCTTCGCTGAATTTATTTTAAAATGTTTCTTTCTTTTTTTTCCTTCTTTTAAAAAAACAAAACAAATTGGCTTGATAACTGCAACAGTTGAGCACACATGGAAATAATCCAACAGTTCCACTAGCTTGGTCAAACATGAAATTTGGACAAATGAACTGCAACAGAAATGTTCCAATGGTTCAGAAAATGCAATTAGGAATACCAAACATAATGTAAAATAATAAATTATAAAGTTGCTCAGACCACAAAGCGTAGAATTAGAGAGAATAGATTTGCCTGCACTGTCACAAAATTCAGTCTAGAATTCATTTTTGCTGATATTTGGACCGATTCAGGTATGAAGTAATATTTAGAATTGGGCTTATTTCAATAGAATGTTTTGTCACAAAAGGAAAGGTTCTTTCAGCCAGCTGAGTAGCAGTGTGCAGCAACAGGTGTGGGGAGAGCAGCAGATCTTGCTAATCATAATAGCTGTACTTTTTCTTTCAGGGACTCATTTATTAAACTAATCGCTCTCTTCTTGGGCATCCCTCACTTCTTCTTCAATTTTTTTTTCTTCATAAATCAGTAGAATCTCCTCTTAGCAAATCTGGCCATATGAAAACCGGCCCCTCCTCCCTCTGAGGCCCTAATTCTCTACCAGGAAGCTGCTTCTATTTTAACATCGCTAAGGAAACCTGGCAGGCTGTCTCCGTCACGTCGAGTGTCATGCTGCGGGATTACAGGACGTATTTCAGAACCCCGGGTTAATGCTGACCGGGGGGGGGGGGCTAGGCATTATGATTCAGCTGCGTACGTGCTGCAGCAGCAGAGCCGGCTTTGTCCGCGTGCCAGCAGTGGGATGGGCCGAGCGTCCGCGCGACACACGCAGGGAGGAGGGGCGAGGGGGTGGGCAAGCGAACCTGCAGGAGAGCAAGTGCACAGGCTCGGCAGAGGGAGACGGGGATGCGCGAGGGAAAGCATGATTCGAGCTGCGGGAAGCTTTTTTTTATTTCCTTCCTACGAGAGTCTGATCCCATTCTGCTCGGCAGCAGTGCTGTAAAGTATATCGGCAGGAAATACGCTCGGAAAATGACCTCATCGCTCTCAGGAAATGAAAGATGCAGGAGCGGTTGGTGACTGACCCCCCTGTGTGATTGGCTGCGGTGAGTGATGTAACGCGTTACCGAGCAGGCTGCCTCTTAATGGCTTTTTGGGAATCGTGCGATTTTAAAAGTGTTTCTGCCTCAGAGAGAACAAGGAATCTGTGGTTTCCTTTTGCTTTTCTGAAGTCTGCTTTGTGCTTGAGGAGGAGGCGTTTCCAGTCCTTTCCAGATGAGGTGGGAAGCTCAGACCCACTCTGTTGTGTTTTATGCAATAATTTTTTTTATTTATTTTTTTTGTTACTGCAGAAGGCATCTGACAAGTTAATCCTGCTTTTACTTGCAGGCAAGAGATGTTCTGCGAGGTCCGCCGCCGCAGAACCGTTGATGCAGTGCAGATTTGTGGGGTTAAAAATAGCCAACTACCTTAGCTACAGTCTCTGCTAGCCTACGTTGGCTTTGACTTTCATAGGTTTATTGACTAAATCTCTAGAGCAGAATCAGGTTATCCCTCACCAAAGCCCGGGCCTTAGGGGATTCGTTGGCTGGCGACGGCTGTAGATTTCAAACTTGCGTGCATCGTCTGATTTCAGCCGTCTGTTTTTCAACGCTGGTTAAGATCGCTTTCTCAGAAGGATGCGCTCTCTCATTTTGCAGCGAGGAATATTTATAGGCGGCCTCCTTTCTTGAATGAAATTCATTCTGCCTGACTCACGCTGCGCTCCGTCTCTCCTCCCACTCTCTCGCTGTCGGGAGAGAAGGCAGAGTTTCATTATCCCAGTTTGATGAATTGGGGCGGAGAGGAGGAGAGGCATGAGTGAGAGCTAATCAGCCTGCAGCAAAACGCCTGATTTGCCTCAAATAGCAGAAGTCGGGGAAAGTATATTTTGCTGCCGAGACGCCAGAAATTCAACCTGTATATATTTTTTTTATTTTTGCTCCAACAGCTCTACCTCCAAAACCACCCAAGTCCACAGCTGTGACTAACAACGGTATGAACAACAACATGGCTCTTCAGGACGCCGAATGGTACTGGGGGGATATCTCTCGGGAGGAAGTCAATGAGAAACTGAGGGACACTGCGGACGGTACGTTTTTGGTGCGGGACGCCTCAACTAAAATGCACGGAGACTACACTCTGACGCTGAGGTGAGTCGAACCGTCCTCCTCCGCCTTCCTATCCTTCCTTCCCACTCTTGGTTAAACTCTTCTACCGCCTTTGTTCGCTTGCAGGAAAGGAGGCAACAACAAGCTCATCAAGATTTTCCACCGCGACGGAAAGTACGGCTTCTCGGATCCGCTGACCTTCAGCTCCGTCGTGGAACTCATCAACCACTATCGGAACGAGTCGCTGGCTCAGTACAACCCCAAGCTAGACGTCAAGCTGCTTTACCCGGTCTCCAAACACCAGCAGGTAGGGAAGCTAACCCACTGGATTGTCACAGCGCTTCCCTTTTTTGACGGGAGCTTAACCACAACTCTGAAATCCGTCATCAGGACCAGGTGGTGAAAGAAGACAACATCGAAGCTGTGGGGAGGAAGCTTTGTGAATACCACCAGCAGTACCAAGAGAAGAACAAGGAGTACGACCGTCTGTATGAGGAATACACCAGAACGTCACAGGTGAGTCGCAGCCTCACTCCCGACTGGCATCGGTACTTTCACCGCGGAAATTGGATTTGGATTTTAAAACCGCACTTCATCTTGCAGGAAATCCAAATGAAACGCACAGCGATAGAAGCCTTTAACGAAACCATTAAGATATTTGAGGAGCAATGTCAGACACAAGAGCGGTACAGCAAAGAGTACATCGAGAAGTTCAAGAGAGAAGGCAACGACAAGGAGATCCAAAGGTGAGGACGCTACAAGAATTAGTCGTTTTTAGCTCACCTTCCGATGCAGTGTTTTTGTTGTTGTTCGGGGATTTTTGCGCTAACTCGTTGCTGTTTGCAGAATCATGGGTAACTACGAAAAGTTGAAATCGAGGATCAGCGAAATCGTTGACAGCAAGCGCAGGCTGGAGGAAGACCTGAAGAAGCAGGCGGCGGACTACAGAGAGATCGACAAGAGGATGAACAGCATCAAACCCGACCTCATCCAGCTCCGCAAGACCAGAGACCAGTACCTTATGTAAGTACTTTGCATGTAGGGTTAGGGTGCTCTTATCGAGGTGCGTTGTAACCTTGACGTACTTTGATAGATTTGTTTTTCCTTGGTGTCTAACGTGCTTCCTGTCCGACAGGTGGTTGACACAGAAAGGAGTCCGACAGAAGAAGCTCAACGAATGGCTAGGAATCAAGAACGAAAACACAGAAGAGTAAGTCCCCAAGTCCAAATGGCACAGAAAACGTCACTCGACAAGAAAACGTGCCTCGACTAACATTCTGCCATGTCTTTGGTTTCCTTTCAGTCAATACTCGATGGTGGACGACGACGAAGACCTCCCGCATCATGACGAACGCAGCTGGAGACTGGGCAACATCAACCGGCTCCAGGCCGAGGCCGTGCTCCAAGGCAAGAGAGACGGAACATTCCTGGTTCGGGACAGCAGCAAAGCAGGGTGCTACGCCTGCAGCGTTGTGTACGTATCTATAAAACCACGATTAGAGTTGTTGTGATTAGATTTCCCAACAAGTGTGTGACCGTTTGTCCTGCCTCTGTGTCTCTCCGCAGCGTCGAAGGCGAGGTGAAGCACTGCGTCATCAACAAGACGCCGTCGGGCTACGGCTTTGCCGAGCCATACAACCTGTACGGCTCGTTGAAGGAACTCGTACTCCACTACCAGCACACGTCTTTGGTCCAGCACAACGACTCTCTGAACGTGACGCTAGCGTATCCGGTGTATGCCCAGCAGAGACGGTGAGGAACCCCCAAACACCGGACGTTCTGTTCCCCACATGGACACACGGGTTTACGAACCTGGCTGGAGCCAGAGGACACGACATCTTGGACTCCTTGAGCAAATACGAACAATAAACAACGGAACGGACGCGCTCCGACACTCGGACTTGGAAACCGGAGGAAAAGGACACGATAAAGCCTGAAACATTTCAGTGACTTTGCCGTAAAACCTGAGGCGAGTCTGAATGTAGAACTCTTTATTTTTCTTTTTGATTTTGTGGGAGCACAGAACCGAGCGGAAACTGCTGAACTCTCCAAGAGGAGGACGTCTGAGGCCTTTTCCTTATGGTGCTTGTTCGTTTTTTCGAAGCTTTACCAGCCGGAATGTTAAACCACAAAGTCAAACCCTTGAAACGGAACCGTACTCGCCGGCTACGACTTGTTCTTGTGTTGATTTTTTTTCCTCGCATCATCGACGTGCATTTCTTTTTCTCCTCCTTCCTCTACGTGTGTGTTTGTGCGGACTGTCCACATGACCAAAACTCATAGAATCGAGAGACCGTGCGACGCTGAATGGCTGGAACACATTAGCCTGTGTTTTTCAGCTCAGACCACGGATCAGCTGAAAATGTAGCAAAATGGCACTTTTTTTTCTTTTCTTTTTTTTTTACACATAATTTGTTTTTTGTTTTTTAATGGTTTCTTAAAAGAAAAACTCCTACGAACTTGTAAGAGCAGAGTGGAGACGGAAAAAAGCCTGCAGCCTTGCTGCTGTCGAGCTTTGGAGCGCAGAAGCAAACTTGATCTTAAAGGTGTCGGAGGAGGCGGAGACTATGAATGGACTTACTATTTCATGTACATATGTGAAATTGTGCAAAGTCATGAAACAAAGTGCACCGTACCAAAAAGGATCGGCTCCTGTTGAGTTCTCTTCTGATCAGCTATGCAATTCTTTCTCCATTTGTACTTAAGAATTGTTTAACTGTTGCAAACCCACAACATAAGCTTGTTTTACCGCTTGAAAAGTATCTTTTCCTGTGTAAAAAAAAAACAAAAAAAATATCCAGCAGGTTATTTTTTTTTTTGTCGTTTCAAAAAGCCAAGCTACAGTACAAAACGCTTCTGATTTTTAAAGAATAATAATAGAAACGTACACTTTATTGTAAATTACTTTAACAGCTGGTATACAGATGGAAACGAGTATTTTATTACCTTTTTTTTTTGTCGTTTTGCTTCAAACTAAAGCTCCTCTCAGGCAGAGCCTTTTGAGTGTTTGAGCTGCTTCGGTGAAGAGTAGAGAGCGAAGCGCGCGTTGGAGGAGCAGCCGGAGAACGGTGCTGGTTGGGATTGTTCGAGCCCATATCGCCGCCCAAACAGCAGTAGAGATTTATTTTGTTATAAGATAGATATGTTCCCATATGAGAGAATAGAAGATCAATTTACATTTTACACTTTGTATATTTTTCTGTATCAGAAAATGTTTACATGGGTGGATCAGCTCATTTCAGAAACTAACGTTTATTTTTTTTTTTCTTTTCATATTTCAAAGTTGCGCCGCGCGGTAGTGGCGCGATCCCGAAATAAAACACGGCAACAGCTCAACTACAGTTTTCCCTCCTCGTTTTTTTTTTTTTTTTATCTTTAAAGTTTATAGAAAACGGTACACGACCAATCGCAGCGCTCGTCGGTGTGACGCGTTTCATGAAATCTGAACGCACACGCACCCTGAGTCACAGCTGTCAAGTTGAAATGTTCACAAAAATGAGCTGGGAAACCAGAAAGCGATTGTTTCTATTTTCACTATTATGACTATTTCTCACACACACACACACACACGCACACACATCCAAAGCGGCACAGGCTGGGTGTATATTTGTTTTTCCCCCCTGAGGCAGGAAACTGTTTCTGTGATGGTACACGCAGTTTTGACCAAACTGCTCATCTGAAATTTATTGTTTTTTTTTTTTAAGCACATTTTGGGTTTTATGACATTTATAAAAGTACTAAAGACATCTATAATATGTCTAATTGTATTTACCTCACAACAGCTGCTGCCACAAACCTTTTATTTCATTATTATTCCCTCAGATCACAGACATCATGCACCTTCTCTGACTCAGTTGTATGATTGATTGATTGATTTTTTTCTTTTTCTCTCTCTCCTTGTTCATCTTGTGTCCCGCACATGATTGGATTGATTTTTGCCAGTGTTCCTCGGTTTGGCTTTGAATCTGTATTGGGCTTTGTTTAAAAACGACAACAAATAAAACACTTTTTTTTTTTTAAAGAAACACGAGTGTTTAATTTATTTGCTGAATGAACTTTGGTGTGACGACCAGCAGAGGTAAAATGACATCACGACTAATTGAAGATGATATGATAAAAAGGTGCAGTTTAACATAAAATGCAGTTTAAAAGTCTTGGATTTTAGCTACAGTCCCTAGAAATATTGGAAGGAGCTTGGGCTTAAATTAGTTGGTGTAGCGTAAAGCTTGCTTTTGCTCAGCGTCAAAAACTCGAGGCGTTTTGTTTTAATTGAGACACGAGTCGGCTTGTTCCTCTCCAGACGTTTAATCGATGCATCGTCACAGGTGGTACCTGCTCAGAACTAGGATACGTCTCGACTGTTCAGGTCTTTGCTTTATGCCTCCAGATTTACGTCAAAACCAGATGAAAGCGTTTTGTTCTTCTTTCCTGCGTTAAAAAAAAAGAGCAAACCTCCACCTGGCTGGAGATTGCTGAGTCAAAGCTGATTTTTATATTTATTTTCTGTGCCTTTAAACTGGCACTCAGACGTATTCAGGCTCTCAATGTTACATTTTCTACTTCCTTATTCTTGAGCTCAACCTCAAAGAAAACAGAAAACGGGTGATCCAACTTGGAAAAAATCTATTTTGTTACAAGTAATCAAATTAATGTTACCCAGGTGAACATAAGTGTTGATGCTTGATAGCCCCACAAAAATAACACGATACCAGGTTTCTACATATTTACTCATTTATGCCAATTTGATTGATTTATATTTATATATTTGTATTAATATGATTAAGAAAACATTAATCTCAGCTAAACAAAATAAAACAAAATATTCTGGTAGAAAAGTTAGCACAGCCTAATGTCTTTTTGTAGCCTAATGCTACAAAATCACTCCATCGCATTTTACCGCTGATCTTTCATCTTTGCTGCCATCGCAGACAGTCGGAACGCCGCGCTGCAGATTTTGCCGGGTTTTTTTTCCCCTCCCAGTGTTCCCTCGTTTTCTGCTTTTTGCTGCCGGGCGCAGTGGAGTTTTACAACTATGCAACTGTTCACTAACCAGTTTTTTTTTTTTTTTTTTTTTCCCACCTGGACGCCACTCCCTCACGTTGCAAAAAGTTGCCATAACTGGCATACCAGAGGCGCATCAGAAGAGAAAAACTGGAATGGTGTCAACTTGGAAGCTTTTTTTTATTTTTTAGGAGATTATGTGCAGCAGCCAGATTAGCATCATTCTTAGAAACAGAAAGTTTTAGGCCCAAAGACACTGGAAGCACCAGAGTAACTCCAGCTTGTTTCAAATGCAAACGGTTGAATTTATTTAGTGTTGTCAAAGTGTTGGGGGCAGAATGCAAAGGTTCAGATGTTTGGAAACATTGAAACGTTTCTTTGTCTTTTAAACAGATGTAAATCTACTTAATCACAATTGTTTTGACAACTATACAGCAGTACACCACACGTAAATACACCAACAGCTTCACAGAATAGAATTAGACTGAATAGATCAGCCAATAGATCACCAATACCTGTTCTAGAATCTTTTCAATATCTGGACCCAAACAGATATTCATATCTCTAATTTTAAATATACTCACAATTTATTTAGTGTTTCCCCCTGACCACGACCTCTGATATCTAACTTTTCTACTTTAAGTCAGTTTGGACCTGAATGTCAGACCAATCACAGGGGGGACTTTTGGTTTTCACGTCATTCGTTAGTATTTGGTAGAGCTGCGTTTTTCTGCTCAAACATTTTGGGATTCATTCCACAAACTTCTCATAATTTGCTGGGCTTTTTTTTTTTTTTTTTTTTTTGCCCGTTCATTTTCACAGAACTGGTGGAACAGAGTCGAGTATATAGGTCACCCAACAAAAACCTTTCAGCTCTGTTCACATATTTCCAAGAGCCTGGAATCAGAGCTCTGCGACGCCCGCTTCGTTGAGTCGTTTCATTGTCGACGAGGAAGGAATATCCCTTCCTCTTAACCGAGAGAGAACTAAAAAGAAGCTTCTGAGAATCCCCACCCAACCCATACCGTTTGTCATACTGCCCATCTGTCTCATTGCGTTGTGGAGTATGCAGCTGGATGGATGCCGCATTTGGCCTGATGAGTTTTCGTCACAGCCTCCACCTCCCCCTTCACGTTGAACTTTGATTGCACTGCAAGCTTGTCGAGCTACATCCTGCATGCGCGCCGTGCAGCAACAAAGACTCTTCGCACACCACAAGCTGCCACCGTTATCAGCAGTTCGTGGTAAGTTAAGTTTGAAAAGTCAAATCCACTCTCTGACGCCGGCAACAGGGACAACTGCAGTAATTTAGAAGATGAAAGACGCTGTCGGTTCGGTTTCTGATTAGCAAGTCACATTAAAGGAGCAGTAATGTGTAAAATTCAATCACGCTGCAAGGCGAACCCAGGAGTGTTGCCTTGAATCTTTCATGCATGTTTGAGAAGTTTTTCACTCTCCCGTTGGCAACCATTCAGCTGTGCAAAAACAGCAAGGTGGACCTAGCTCCGCCTCTGAGGATGAAGCTCCTCCTAGCAGGACCGCGCAGTCCGCACTGCATGGTGCACCGTGTTAGCCTAAGTGTAACTACAACTATTTCTCCTAGGGTGGAGAAAAGTCGGATTTTGTAAAAAGCGTCAGTCGTTCTTAAAGGCTGTTTTGGGGACAAAGGATCCTGATGGTGAGCGTTGTTGGGCTTCTGTATTTGGGTGACCTCACACACGCTACACTTGGTCAGGTCAAACAACACTGTGACCATGTGACCCCACAACAACAGCAACGCCACACGGATCTCTTCACTGTCACTAAGAGTTCCCACATCGTCCAGAAGATTATTTTGCCAAATAGAAGAGTTCAGGAAAAAACCTCCGTACTTCCCGATTCTGCTTCCTTCCCTCCTTGTGTCCATTCTTCCCTCCTATTTTCTTGCTTCCTTCCTCAACTATTTCATTCTCCTTCCTTCACTGTGACCTTTGTCCCTCCTATATGTTCTTCCGTCTTTACCTCACTTCAATCCCTTTTTCCTTCCTTGTTCCTGTTTCTGTTCAACCTGCCATTGACTCATTCTTTCCCTTTCCTTATCCCTCATAGCTACACATCTAAGCCTTTTGTATTTTCATCCTTCCTTTTCCATTCCTTCTTCCTTTTCTTTTCTTGAATCCTGACTTGTTCGTTTGTTCGCTCCATGGTGAACCTCTGCATTTTAGGAAGTAAAGGTAAAGGCGTAACAACTCAAGAAATGAGCTGTTACTCCTGTTACGATGAGTCTTCTTTTCTCCCACGAGAAAAGAAGATTTGGAAGTCTTCTTTTCTCGAGGAGAAAAGAAGTCGAGGAAATCCGCAGCTTCATTTAGTATACTGTACTTCTTCATCCTTAAATGCCCCTCGCTTGTTCGCTTTACAGTCTATCTGTTGCACGGAGCAACGCGTGTTGTGTAAGAGCGAAAACTTGGACTTTGCCATGAGCAAACCCTGCCTCCTGGGGTCTTCTGAGGCGAGAGACTCGCTTCGTTTCACTAAGATTAATCAACAAATGAAAGCTGCATTTTAGATTGTATTCTCTTTCTTCCATTTGCTTTCATTAGCTGATTCTCTAAGAAAAGGGGCTTGGAGTGTAAATGGACTTCTATCTGTGATTAACAGTGTGCGAGAGTTGGACTCGGGTTTCTTACTTCCCACGAAGCCACCATGTCCCGAATTGTCAAAAGGACTCAAATAGTTGTGATTCTTCTCTCTTTTTTTGTGCCTCTGCTTCTTTAGAAAATAAATTCCTCCTCCATTAGGTCTTCAGACTGTAATGCAGCCAGGCCAGTTACAGAGCTGTAAAGATGAGGCCATGAGATAAGGCAACAAGTTCAGACGGCTTATCTTTAAAGCCCCAATCGCGAGAGCAGAGTGCTGCCGCATTGCACTGCACTCTGTCAAACATTAACACTTCCTATCTAAAGCATTGATGAGCCACTCTTGGAAAGAGGGAAATAATCGGAGGCCAAAGTCCACCGATCAACCCCCCCAAACCCCACCTGGCCCTGCGAAAGATGAACAAATCCATTCCAATGGCTGACATACATAATCATCGTACGCCGAAGGATCATGAACTCCCCTTTGCTCGGCCTGTGATGTTTCATGCCTCGCCGCAAATACAGAGAGCTCCCCCAACTTCCATTGCACGTTCAATGATCGGGCCCGATCAGAGCCGTGTGAATCCGCAGGCGCTCAAAGGGCAACATTCCAGGAAATCTCATTGCTGGGTTATCAGGATGGGCCTGGAGGACAATTGAGCGATAAAATACTAAAAAGTACAAAAAGTCACGTTCCGTTTTGCTCTTCCCAGTACGAGGTAAGTAACCTTTACGTAAAGACTTTAGCTTCGACTGGAAGACAATCTTGGGAACGTCAGACTGTCCCCAGGGGGACAAACTGTGTATATGACTCACACACACACACACTGGATCTGATTGCAGAGCTGTGTAAGCGTCTGACCTCAACTCTCTGTGTTGCAAACCACCTCGGCCTCTGCCCTTTTGAGCCAATTTCAAATGAAATGAGACCGATTTAGTTGAACTGAGACGCTGGAGAAACACATCGTTGATTAAATTTTAAAAAATGTGTCATCCTGACAAAGCATCCTGTTGGTGGAACAATGGATAGAATCTGGTCGATATACCAATACCATTTTATTAATAAGACGCCTTTAAACCAGTAAAGTTGACCAGGTGGTGAACAGTTAAGCATAAAGTTGCTGAAATATTTTCTCCAAAATACTTCAAGAAAAAAAAATTGTTTAAATTTTGCCAAATTTCTCAACTGGTAAAAATAAAATAGTATCTGCCTTTACTTGGCAGGATTCATTTTAATGATTAAATTTGTTTTGTTTTTTTTAGTTCTCTCATTTTGGATCCAGAGATGTAAACCTTTAGGTTTGTTCGTTCCAAACATCATAAAGATCAGAAAATCCCCAGTCAAACTATCATCAGCTTCTTGATCGGAAGATAAACTTGATGCTCATCTGCATAGACTTGA